CAACTGTGGCGGCATTGCAATTTTCTTGACAGGATTAAGCGGCGCTCATGCGGTTGGCAGTTATACAAGTCTGGATATATATCTTTTATGCGGCGCGAAGACTTTGCATGATGGTAACGGAGATGCGTTGTGTTTAAATCAATTCTGAAATTTTTTAAATTCATTCCCAGAGGAGTGAGAAGCGCACGAGTAAATATTTTAATTTATGTAGTTTAAATTTTAATAAAAATCCTGATTGGTTTTTAGAAATTAATTTGATATTATTCCTTAAGTACTCTTACACTTCACAGTTTTTAAAAATTACGCCAAAATTTGTTAAATAATTAGCTCGAAGTTGTTATAGATGTATCAAAAGTGTTTCTTCTGAATTGTACTAGCCTAAATTCCTTAGAGATTTAGTTGACTTTGAGCGGAGAACCTTACAATATACTTCCCAAGAGAATTACACTATCTCCGAGATCCGAGAGAAAAAATTCAGTAAGTGCCTTCGGACCACAGTAAGCCTTAATAAAGTTTATATCTCGTAATTAAGTCGTGTTTCTCTTTAAAATACACATCTTTTGAGACTATCATTAATTGTAGAATGCCCTTACTTCCACTTCCACTGCTAAAAGTTTGTCCACTTAGGGACTGCTTAGTCTCTTCGTGTTTACTTTGGTCTAACTCAGATTACTTATATACTCATTTGTTCCTATTTTTTATTTGAACTGTAAAATTGCTCATTACCGAGACATATTATACTTGGAAGATGTACTCTATTCACATTACAAACTCTGTATATAATCCTCTCTTTGTCCAGCCTTTCGTTTGGAGGCCATAAAAAGGGTTTGCTAGTGAATGGAGACTGCGTATAGAGAGACACTTCAAAAAATAGTGCCCTATCTTGGTTTGAAATTGAATGAAAATATTTTATAAGCACCCCTCTTTCGAATCTCTGAATCTAGAAATATGGAAAGATAAATTCAAACGATTAGGAAAGTACATATAGAAGAGCAATGACTTCCTTATTCGCGATAGAAAGCATATTGCTTCAGTTAAAGGATCGCAATGTAGTGTGTCATACCTGAATCCATTTTAAACTCCTCCCTATTAATTATTTATAATAAGGTTATGTTCGGCCTAACGCAACAGGTTAAAAGGTCGATCGAAAAATTATGCATTTCACTTGGACGGCTGAGAACGCCGGTCCATTGTGATACTTAAATAATCCTAAGTATTAATCGAAAATACTCTCAAAAATAGACAAATCGCTTTCAGCTTGCTAAAAGGTTGTTAAAGTGACTGATATCATTTCCGGCTATATCCCCAGATTCGCCGAGGAAATGTCTGCCGAGATGTTTCAATCTTACTCTTCCAAAAGCTAGACAATGGGGGAGAAAGTGCTTGGCTGATATCCCCTCTCCCCCCGAAAGAAAACTTCCCTGCAATCTGCCTTCCGAATTTCGACCAATTCATGAAAAAACTTTTTACGCCTCTGCTCCAGCAGTTAAGTCCCATTCACATATTTCTCTTTGGTATATAAGCAGAGAAAAAGCTGTCAAGAGTAGACTCCGCGATTTAAGTTTTCATCAGTGGAAGAAGAAGCAAAAATGTCCCAGTATGGACTTTTTCATGTACTCAGCTTCCCTGAGTCTTATAGCGACCCTGGAAACAATGCACTTGGCTATATCGGCGGGTGTTATGTGCATACATAAACATTTCGAACCTTTAAGATGCATCTAACTCCACACATATACCTTTTGTTGGCATTTTGTTAAATACATCATTTTACTTTTTATTGTAGCCAAATCATCCTAAGCAGAGTTCGCAACTATGAGGAAAGATTTGTCATTGTTGTGAAAACAAAAAAAAAGTAAAATAAGAACTCGAAAAATAATATTCTTGGAAACACTTAAGACTAAACTAATTTAAAAAGTACTTTGAAAAGAAAAAAAAAACAAAAAACAAATATATAAAGTATTGCCTACTTACAGGTGCTGCCCAGCGCATGGTTGTATTTCAATTTGCAACATGCTGCATGTATTGCATACTTTTAAGCGCACATTGCGCTTGCAGCAAGCAAATATGTATCGCACAAGCCATAAATAACTGTACAATTGTGTCTCCGTTAAAAGGCGACCTCCGCACTTACCTTTCATATTTGTTTCGTTTTTTTTTTGTCGCCCAAAGCTTATAACTGCTTGGCATTGTCTAACCGGCATTCATCATCAGACGCTTATTTGATATGCAAATCATTTATTTCTATTTGTTGTTGTATTTTTTTTCACATTCCATATCTTAAAGAAGCTATGAAATTATTGCTAGCAAACACCCGGTAGCGACAATTCCCTGCCTCAGCTACACACAATAGCCCTGCAATTGACGTCGAGCGTTCGGAGGCGTTGCGCCTCTGGTGGATGCAACAATTTCATGTTTTATTGTTGTTTACTGGTATTTGCTGTTGCCGTTATTTACCGTTTCCCGTCATTTCGATTGTTGCCGCTAGGGGCTGCGCAGTGCAGCGTTACCTTCCCCAAACTCCTTACTAACGTTCGAGTACAGTCCGAGCTATGCTGCGCTGCACTTAACTTTTCCGTTACTGTACTCTTTTGTTGTTGTTTAAGATATTTCTAGCCTTTGGTTGTTTTCCTGTTTACCTTCTTTCCTTCCTCGCTTCCGTCGGCCGCTTGCTGCAGGATCTGCTTTGGCATTCATTCATGCAAATACATAATTCTTCATCTGCCACTGTTGCATTTACTCACACATATACTTACACGCATTTGGTGTGGGTTACAATACTCCCTTTTGTTTTGTATTTTTTCGCATTACTTATTTTCTTGTGCAGGTTTTTCTCCATCGGCATATCGTTCTGTGGAAGCCAGTAGCAACAATCACAGTAAATCACAGCATACTTCAAGGCGCTCTTACATACGTGCTTCACATTGCTTTCCTTGTTATCTTGCTTTTTAACTTCGCATTTTTCTTCATCAGATGGTTGGCGGGGGTTATTGTTCAAGCGTTGGCTTTTCCAGCTATAGTAAAGCTTTTGATGCCTTATTTACTTAGTAACCCGAATTCGAAATTGTCATAATCTGATCTAGCTGGTACACCGAGTTCACTGTCATTAAAATCTTACTAAGCAGATTTGAACTCATAAAGAAAATGATTCGTTTCCGTGCCAGAAATTTTACTCGGCACCAAACTTTCACTTATTCATTTTTGTTCAATAGCTTAAAGCTTTATTTCCGCAATTAGTTAATACATAATATATTCTGTAAGATTATCTACATACATAATTTTAACCTGTTTTGCACCACTAGCATATCAACTTATTACATATTGTGGCATTACAATTACACCTAAATACTTATTATAGATTATATACTTATATTTAATTACAAATTACTTTTTACACCGAAGTTTATTATAAATACTGTTACTGTTCACATACAATACAAAAAACTACTTGCATTACAGGCTAGTACTTGTAAAGATATTAGTTCACTGCATTATATTATGTTGCATTGTGACATCATTAGATTATAAACCTTAACATTACCAATCTTAACAAACTACTAGGATTTATAAAATTCATAACCTTGAGTAAACTATGCATTAGATTGAAAGTACATGCTATCTATCAAATTACAAGATTTTACAATTACTGTCATAAAATCATCATTACTATATTACATTACAAAAAATTACATTACTTTTCTTTATATCGATGAAAATGTCTAAATTACTTACTAATACATAACCTACTATACTTTATATTAAAAAAACTATTAAAATTCATACTAGAAATAAATAATTACAATATTCAATATTTATTTTATATTACAGAGCTATTTCCAATTTAATAATAATATTTCACCTTCCTAGGTAACATGACAATGTCTTAATTACAACAAAATGCTTTTCTATATTTAAATTATACAAAATTAATATGTAACATTACTATATCTGACATTAACCTATGTATATAGAATTATAGCTTTTTTCCGTAGGTATTATTTTTTACGACATTAATTACATTTATTTATACAACATTATTATGCACTACATCAGCGATATAATTATAGTATTCAATTACATATTACATATATTACATTGTACTTAAATACCTTACAATATCATTACTATACAATACATTGGTGATATAAGTGCAGTATTTAATTAAAATATATAACATAAACGAAAAACATTAATTACAATACTATTAATTATATAACATTACCATTATTTAATAAGTAGATAACATTACTATGAATTACCTTAGCGATACAATAATAGTATTTGACTGCATTACTTGCAATAAATTTTAAATTACATTGTATTTGACTACAAATTATCATTACTTTGCTTTACTTTGGTGATATACATAAGTATTTAATTCAAGTAATACCATTAATTAGCAACATTAATTACAGTAATCTTAATTATATTACCATTACTTTACAAATACAAACGTAAGTTCCTTTTTAAATAACTTATTTTGTATAATTTAGTTAAAATTTTTCAAACACCAAAAACCATTACTTACATTATACAATTACACAATATTCCAAATAATATTTATGAACTTACTTCTTATAATTTCATTAATTTTCAGCGATTATTTCAAACTCACAAACTTACATAACGTTAAGTGACTATATCTGCCATTCTACTGATCTATATTAATGAATAATTTTTATTCAATTACATTACATGCAATAAAATTTTGAATTACATTATACTTAAATACATTATTATTACTTTACAATACATAGGTTACATTAATATGTAATTAAAATATTTTAATTACAATACGCCAAATTACATTACATTACCATTACTTTGCAATACTTTATTACAATTTCATTACCATTACTTAGCATTACTTTCACAATACAAACGTAATTTCGTTTTTAAACAACTTATAGTATTTGAAGCATTTTAAATTTTTCTATATTCCGTTACATAATTTAAATGTTAACAATTACTAATTTATTGCTTATAATCTCATTCAATTTCAGCGACTTCAAACCGAACACGGCTTCAAAGTATGGCGCCGCCGATACAGCTGCCAGTAGCAACTTAACGACCAGTTGCTCCAACACGCCCACCACAACGAGAGTTAGCAATATCAATAATAATGCGGAGCGTACACCATCCACCATGTATGTGTTGCATGGACGTGAGCACATTGAATGTGAGTTGAAAAAAAATTAAAAAATTTTTTTTGTTTTCAAAATGGCAATCATAACCTTTAAAAGCGAGCGCGTAGTGACAAAAAAAAAATTGTTTTTGTAGTTTTTTCAGGCTTTTACGGCACAACTAGAATTCATAGTCAGGCGTTTTGGAAAACAAATTTCCGTTTGTAGGCGAAAATAAATCATTTGGAATGGCAATTCAGGCAACAGCAACAAAAGCAAAAACAATCAGCGGTCAAATGCGGCAGTGAGTTGTTGGAAGCGATTGCGCATTTAACTAACCTATTACTTTCTTAATCCGTTTGACTTAATATTTCTCATGCTCGTATTTGCCAAGGTTCGCAGCGTTGTTGCAAAACAACAACAGTAATAGCGAACGCGATGCCAACTGTCAGTGGACTAAACTCGTTGAAAGGATGAAACAACATTTTAGTCGTTGTTCTTTTTTCTCTTTTTTTTTTTGCAAGCATTCATTCACTGCTTGTTTCAATGGCAGCAAAAATATGGTCCAGCGCAGCAGTGATACGACTGCCGATCCGTAAATCCTAGCAATTTCGGTTGGCGCGTGCAATATTTTCACAAGCTTTTATTTTATTTTTTTGTTGAACTTTTTTTTCACTTTTTTTTTTGATTTTGTTTTTGTTTTAAAATTTTATTTTTATTTATATTTTTTGGCAATATTTTTTTTTTTTGAAATTTGATATGTTGCTATTGTTGTTGCTTTGAAAAAGTTTAACCGCTCTCCATTTACGGACAGTGCCTATGCATATGTATGGGCTTGTGTGTGTGCGCATGATTTATTTAAATGGAAAATATGATGGCGTTGCTCAACTAATTTACCATTCGACGGCCTCGACTCGCTCGCTGGCCTGCACTAGTCACTTCACATTGTTGTTGTTGTTTGCCTTTTCTATTTGTACTTTCGCAGCACAGTTTGCTCACTGCTGTTGTTGCGGATTAAAATCGTTGCAAAAAAAAAAACACATAGAGCGTTCCGAATGAAACAAAGCCAAATAGAGCCGTAAATCCACTAGTCGTTTTTAATTAAAATGAAAGCTTATAACATAAAACCGGCTACTTCATATTGCGCGTTATTTTTGTTGTGTTTTCTATTTGTAGTTTAGCCATTTAGTACAAACGAGTGGTAACATTGCGCTCGCCATTTTAAGCGAAATTTTGAAATGGCTGCATCAACTATGGCGCCATAAAGGCCATTAAGCGTCTAAAAGTGCGCTAACGAAGTGTGTTTGAGTATGTGTGTGTGAAGGTGGTGGTGAAACTCACCTTAGCTTATAGTTAGGTGGTTAGTCACGTAAGAAATTTAATTTTTTCTCTGACTTGTGGAATGCTTTGTTATCGTGGCGTTATCGTGGCTGCTGTTTGTGTGTTCGCTTCTATATTTGTAGTTGTGCCTGTTTATATTTGATTTGCGTTTGTACGTTCTTACCTAAGCAATAGTTTGAACGGAAAATGTAGATATACTTTAAGCAACAATTTGTTTGTGGAACGGCATAATCCAAAATAACTAATAAAACTTCAGATAAGATAATTCAGTAGTTGGGAACTAGAACTACTTATTCGCTAGAATCATTAATCATGCTCTATAGCATTCCCCATTGACTGTAACATTATGCCCGTTCTAATTTTTGAAGAAATATGGACTCATGATTTCCTCTACCCATAGAACATACCAAACAGTTACCTTTTGAGAATGTAACGGCGTCTCAACACTGGCTTGAGAATTATCATCACTACAAAGGCGTAAATTTTTATTTTTATTAATGCATCCAATCAATCAAAACTGAGCTTCATCGCTGATGAAATTTTTCTTGCGAAAATCGAGATCGGTGGATCCATTCACCGAACATACGACGCGCTTGATGGTAGCTCCACAGCAGCAATAGCGTCTTCAATGCGCACTGTATGGCGTCTCTGAGTAGAAACCGTTGAGAAACCGTGGTGTGAAATCGATTTCATTTTTGAGTAGCTCCGGAAGTTGACTTTGAGCTCAATCTTTTCCTGTGATTTTTGTGTTTTCTTTGGCGCAGTGAAATATTGCCTCAAAAGAGTAATTAAACACTTAATTGCTGAACTTTTCATTTCTAGCGGCTTTCTCTTTACCTTACCTAGTCAAGCAACTTTTTCACCAAATTAGTGGAGCAGAAAAAACTTATCTCTTCATCCCAACCATTTGACAATCTTGCTTAAAGTTACAGTGCACATTAGTAGACAGCGAAAATTTTAAAGCCAGAAAAAGTTCACAGTCTTTGCAGTTCTAACATTTTCCGCTTGTGGCAAAGTGGTCAGTCAAAAGCGTTTTTGCTTTGGCCAAATGTTTGCACTCACACGTTATCTAAAGTGTAACTGGTCATCATCATCATTATTGGCCATTAGTTGAACACCGAATTTGGTAATGCCACGATGGTGGCAGTGAAGATTGAATGCGTAGCGTAGAATGTGCATAAATATGTAGGTGGTTATACTTATGCAGTTGGAAGAAAGTAAGCTGCAACTTAAAACCAAGTAGGGAAAATGCATCTGATTGTAAATTAGTTGCCTAGATGAGAACTAGTTTGACTGAGTTTTGACTTCGTGTCATACAATTTTATTTTCTACGGACGAGTATTACAAGTACTTAAGCGCTAATTTAGTGTGATTGCCTAAGACCATGATCCTTTTTGTATACCACAGAGTATCGAAAATCATGGAACACACTTGACACTCTTGAGTTAGGACGAGTTCTTTGAAAGTCTGTTCTGAGCATTTTTACTATATAAAAGGGCTGTGGTTTCCAAATTTTTCCAATTTATTTTATTAATAGTATTTAATTTAACCTTCTAAATAAGAACTACTTTAGGTATGTGTCTGGGCTAATATAAGCCCAAATGTAGGCAACGTTTTTTCGTTTTACTATTGAAAATTTCACAACACGCATAGACCAGGGTCGGTAATTTTTGTAACCAATAAAATTATGGTACGATAAAACTCATTAGAAAACGAATGAAATATAACAAAAAACAAGATAATTTATAGGTGATCTGAAGTCGGGAAGTGAAAGAAAGGGGAATAGTTGAGTTTCTAATGGTAAAAACGGTTTATCTCGATTTCCCGAAATACTACAAGTCTCATAGAAAAAAGTTACATGTCAAAGTTATAGGTAATAAAAAGATCCACAACTTTTGGGGTAAAAATTTTTTTATATAACCTCAAAACTTATGTGAACAATTCAACTAATCGAGTTTTTGATTTTTTATAATTTACAAAATTTTTTGCCACGAAATTTATGGTACATTGATTTTTTTATATCCCAAAATTACCATACTTTTTTATGTAAAATATTTGTTTTTTCACTTACTTAATATAGCAAAAATTTCTAGTTTTCCATGGAAAATTTTTAAGTCAAAATATCTGCTCAGATCTGCCTGCCTCTTTCATCACTGAAATCTCTATTTCCTGATGGTATGAAAAGTATATACAAAACTATGGTAAATTTTCTCAGTAATTGCAAAATATATTGTGCTCAATTTCAAAATTTGTTCCTTCTTAAAAATAAAATTAAAAGAGATTTAAAGATATATAAAACTAAATTTAAAATGTCTCACTTCAAATTTATATACTTTACAGTGCTCTCTCACATCTTACGTTGCTTCCAATTGCCTCATGGCAGAATAATTCCTTAATCTAGTAACTAGACTATATTTATTGTTATATTTTTCAATAATGTGAAATCGGTGAATTTAATTATGAAGAGAAAAATATTATATGTGGTAGGTACTCTATTATATGTTCGTTGAGAGCAAGAGGTAGTCGAAAACGAATATTTTCAACTTTACAGGTTATTTTCGCTTTCAAGCTGGTTTTCTAAGATTCTAAAAATTAGTTCTTCAAAACTGTTGCATGGGAACAGTACGTGAAGAAGACACTCATTTCTAAAGCTATTCTAAACCTGTAGGAGTATAACTAAGGTATATATTGTTACAGTTATAAAATGGTTGTAAATATACGGTCTTCTGAAGGTTCTTGTCTAAAACTGTGCGTTGGTGACAAAAATTAGCGAATTTTCAAACCGTTCTTACAAGCAACTGAATTATATTGAATGGATGCTTGAGACAGAATTTTTCGGCCAATAGCTATATTTATATAAAAATATTCACAGTTTTCGAACAAACTTAGATCTGGGCTTTCTTGTTGTAGATTGCTTTGCTCTTATAAGCAACTGATGTATATAGAATGGATCCTTGACATCCTTGTTTCGATCAATAGCTCAATTTATATTGAAAAATTTGCTTTGTGGACTGGAAACCAACAAGCTGAATTTGAAAAATATGACTGTGCTGGGTTTTGAGCTCCATATTGAGCTTTAAATGCTTTCGGAGAGCATTTGCATCCTCTTCATCTGACTTTTCCGACTCTGGCATTGTTTCCCTAGGCATTAGAACCCTACTAGTCTATGAGTTTGAGAATTTTCATGCGTGGTTTCGCAAAATTATGGAACATTGCTACTTATATTTGCACTACAAGTACACTTGCAAATAATCCACACTTCACAATCGACATTCACCGACACCAAGTATCAGACAGTGATATAAATTTCAATTTTGAATGCCATCAATCTGTGATTTTTGCACTTTGCAGCAATTTGTGGCCATCCATTTATCTCTTCGGACTTGCTTGCTTGCAAGTAGCCACGTTGCTGGGGAGCAATGCGTGCGAGAGCGTTTAATAGCACGCACACATACACACTCTCTCAAAACATATACCCTCACACATTCACGCACAAGCACACAATCTCTTACACATTACGCTGGTGAATTGGCTGGCTAGCTGTCACATGTTGGGCTGACCACTGGTCCATTGGCAGAATTCTCCATTCCATATAGTCATTTAATTTGGTGTGTACGATGATTATGCTCTTGTCATTGTTGCTGTTGTTGCTGGTATTGTTGCAGCATGTGTCTCCTACTCGCATGACAACTAATCTGAATTTATGCGACAGCAT